GAGTTTGAGCCTCTGTTCCAGAGAGTTTCTTCCAACACCATATTATCAGTAGCAATCTGAAAACTGCTACATCAGGGGGAAAAAAACTCACATTGCCAGGCACATTAAAAGAAACCTTTTCTAGATCTCAGCTGCAAAACAAGAAGAGGGTTTAAAAGGCTCTGAAGAATAATGGCATGATCAACACCCAATGAAAAAAAAACAACAGAGACTGTCTTTCTATTCCAGACTTAAAAACAAAAAACACAGTTAGACTCTATGCCTTCAATGTGCCAGAAAGGTGTGCTGATCTCTAAATTCTCCAGAACTACTATAATTAGAACTACTACGATCCCTCATAGTCCGAGGATGATGGTCCTCCAAGAGTGGTAACCTGGGGGTGGATCCGTAGGTGGCTGTGGAACCCTTTTCTTGATCTGCATCTTCTCCCGCAGGGAGGGCATCGGTTTCCAGGTGGGAGGCGGTCCCGATTGGGGGTGGCTTGATGCGCCTTCCTCTTGGCATGTTTCTCTCTTTCACCCTCCATTCGTGCCTCCTCAAATTCTGCAGCACTGCTGGTCACAGCTGACCTCCAACTAGAGCGCTCAAGGGCCAGGACTTCCCAGCCCATCTTTAAATCTCTTTTCCCGTCCTCCAACATTCCGTTTTCTGTTCTTGAGTTTGGAGTAGAGCAAGTGCTTTGGGAGACGGTGGTCGGGCATCCGGACAACATGGCCAGTCCAGTGGAGTTGATGGCGGAGGACCATCACTTCAATGCTGGTGGTCTTTGCTTCTTCCAGCACGCTGACATATGTCCACTTGTCTTCCCAGAATATTTGCACGATTTTCAGGAGGCAGCACTGATGGAATTGTTCCAGGAGCTGCATGTGACGTCTGTAGACTGTCCATGTCTCGCAGGCATATAGCAGGGTTGGGAGGACAATAGCTTTATAAACAATCACCTTGGTATCCCTACGGATGTCCCGGTCCTCAAACACTCTCTGCTTCATTCGGAGCACTCGCAGAGCTCAGGCGGTGTTGAATTTTGGTGTCAATGTTGACTTTGGTGGAGAGGTGGCTGCCAAGGTAGCGGAAATGGTCAACATTTTCTAATGTTACACCACTAAGCTGTATCTCTGGCATTGGAGAGGGATTGACTGGTGACTGCTGGAAGAGCACTTTGGTTTTCTCAATGTTTAATGACAGGCCAAGCTTCTTGTATGCTTCTGCAAAGGTGTTTAGAGTGGCTTGCAGGTCTTCTTCTGAATGCGAACAGATGACGTTGTCATCAGCATACTGGAGTTCTGTAACAGATGTTGTTGTAACCTTGGTTTTGGCTTTCAGTCTGCTGAGGTTGAATAGCTTGCCATCTGTCCGATAGATGATTTCCACTCCGGTGGGAAGCTTCCCATCAACAAGGTGAAGTATCATAGCGATGAAGATGGCAAATAAGGTTGGGGCAATAACACATCCCTGTTTGACACCTGAATCCACCTTAAATGGGTCACTTTGGGAGCCACTGCTGTCCAAAACTGTTGCCCTCATGTCATCATGGAGGAGCCGCAAGATGTTCACAAATTTGTTTGGGCACCCAATTTTTTGGAGGATGGTCCAGAGAGCGCTGCAATTCACTGTGTCGAATGCCTTTGCAAGGTTGATGAATGCCATGTACAGAGGTTAATTTTGTTCCCTGCATTTTTCTTGGAGCTGTCCTGCAGTGAAGATCATGTCCACTGTTCCTCTGGAGGGGCGGAAGCCATTCTGGGAGGCTGTCTTCTGAGAGGGGTAGAAGGCAGTTTGCAAGGATTCTTGGGAGGATTTTCCCAGCGGAGGTTAGAAGGGAGATACCTCGATAGTTTCAGCAGTCTGTTCTTTCCCCTTTTTTGAAGAGGGTGATGATGGTGGCATCCTTGAAATCTGCTGGGATTTTCTCGGTCACCCACACTTTTTCAATGAGCTGGTGGAGTTGGTGTGTCAGCTCAGATCCACCCTCTTTAAAGATTTCAGCAGGGATCCCATCAGGTCTGCTGGCTTTGTTATTTTTTTGTTGGCTGATGGCATTGCTGACTTCTTCCAAACTAGGCAGTGCTGCAAGTTCATCCCTGGTTTGTTGTTGCAGGATTTGAGAGAATCTCTTCGGCCACATTGGAGCTGCAATTCAGGAGGCTTTGGTAGTGTTCTTCCCAACGTAGTACAATTGATTTTTTGTCCTTCAGAAGTTTGGTTCCATCTGATAAGCGTAGAGGCTCTATGCCATGGTTTCTTGGTCCACAGATGACCTTTGTGGCTTTGAAAAATCCCTGAGCATCATGGGTATCTGCCATATAGAACTACTGTAGAGGCCAGGTAATACTATGCAGTCAGATTAAAGTTTGGGAGACTTTAAATATCACACATTTCAGGTTTAAGGCACTCACAAGGATCACATCCTGGTTATGGAACTCCAGTCAGTGAAAGCTCTGGTTGTCCCTCACCCTCTTGCCTTTCAAGCACTCGCTAATAACAGATCTATTTGTACAAGCTCTCAGGGAAATGAGCAAATGCTTTGACTTGTCTTTTGCTGCTGTTTGTTGGTCTTCCTTTTAAGTATTTAAGCAGACATTTGTAATTTGTTATTTTAGAAGTTTGTAATTTGTAATTCTAACTCGATTTGTGAGCTGCTGGGAGCTGCATGAGGAAGGACAGGGCAGCAACAACAATAACAACAGTAGCAGCAGTGTGGTAAAGTGTGTGTGTGATGGTTTTGACACTTGTTCCTTTTCCTATCATGGAATGTTGCCAGCTGGCATGCCTCATGCAATTGCTGTGGGGGATCTGGCATGAGATTAAGTGTGAAATCTCCAAGTGGCCTTGTGAAAACCATCAGAAAAACAAACACCCACCCACTTATCAACATCTTACAATGGCCAGGCTGACAGCGGTGAGGGAAACTGGAATTCCACCCATCTGGAGGGCACCAGGTTGGGGAAATCTGTACTAAAGAGGAGTCTTGTCCCTTCAAAATCCCATGTGTTTTTTGAAATAAAGTCAACAGAGGGCAACGTGGAGTCGCCAGTGATTTTTCTGGAGGCAGGATGCATCTGTAACTGTTCCGTGCCCAGTCCAAAATAAACTGCCCATCCATTTTAGGTTTTTGCCAGGTTGCCTTTCATCCACCTCAATGGGGGACAAAATGTCATTAATCCAAATTTACTTCAAACTGTAACTCAAGTCATGAGATCCAATGTATTCAACACGGATGCTGTGCATGTGGGCTGCCCTGTTTTCCCTAGAAAAGAAACTACCAGCATGCATGCTCAGCCCATACAAAGTACCTATGGCAGAGTAACAATTCACAGGTTCACCTACATAGCAAGCTTGAAAGACATACCCATGTGCCAGTCTTTGCCCCTCAAAAGTGCATACAAACTGCCAGACTTGCAGTTAACTAAAGGTGACAGGGTTTTCTTTTTCCTCTTTCTTCTTGGGTGAAAAAGACAAAACTTAACACCAGAAGAGAAACACTACATCTGAAGAATATTATGATGAGTCTTCTGGAAGACATTTCAATCTGACACAGCCCTGTGAAACTATATTTAGCTCACAAAAACAGGGAGGGAGAAATGAGAAGACTAACCCCATAAATGATTTTCTGGCAACTGTAGGAGAGTTTAAATTCAATCCCCGTTCTTTGCCTTCTATTAATCGTAGCCCTGTGTACGCTGGATGAATGGATTCCTGTTAAACAACCCCAGAGGACTTTGAAGACACAGAATGAAGAGTGTGCATAGAGCTGTGTGTGTGCGCACGCGTGCATATATATGCATGTGTTTGCTTCTCTTATTTAAAAGTCTATTTAAGTACCAAATATTCCTGCCTAACCAGCCATGTTGAAAAGCTGCAAAAACAAAGTTGCAGTGCCCATGGGCAAGCAGGAAATGCCTAATCTCATACTATTAAAAACCCTAAAAATACTTCGTTTTTTGCCCATTCAGATAAATGGAAGGAAGAACCAGCCCTTTCACAGCCTTCCGGCTATTTCTTGGGACGACAGCCAGGTCCTAGGGAAAGCAGCCAGCCAAGAACTAGGGGAAACGTTTAGATAGCTCACCAGAAGACACTGGCCATAGGCCCTTGGCTTTAATGACAAATTTTGGAACCACCAACAATCCCCCTGGACATCCCCTGGTTGCCAAGAGCAAAGAGGAGCTGAGCTGGAATCATGGAGGGTTCTTTCTTACCTAGGGCTGGTTCAAAGGAAGAAGTGGGTTTTTCTGAGGCAGCCAACTTGCCACAGCTCCAGGCTGTCTCACAATCTGTCAAAGACGCGAGCAGCCCCCACTAACCCCCACGGTAGACAGCATGGGCAGAAACAGTGAGAGTGCTGTGCCTCTTCACCCCCCCCCCCCAATTCCAGGTTCTTTAAAGCTCTACAAGCTGATGAAAGGCAAATGGCGTTCTATTTACTAACACTCAACTTTAAATGGGTTTCTCATGGTTTCCCAAAGAATCATAGAAATTACAATATGAAGGAAGTTAATAGAAAGTATTTGGCAAATTATTATGGGGCTCCAGATGTTCCCAGACTGCAACTTCCATAATCTCTCACTGTTTGTTATGCTAGCTATGATTGATAGGAGTTGCTGTCCAAAAGAACCTGAAGGGCCACAGTTGCCCATCTATGTCCCAATTTTAAACAGCACTGACACTGCAGCAACTTGGAGAAAAACATTAAGCACAGTCTGTGTTGGTAAAGATGCTGGCTTCCTAACCTAGAGCTGGGGTTCCCAGGATCCACCAGTTGAATAGATAACACAACAGCTGAACAGACTGCAGGATGGGTATAAAAACAGGAGCATAAAAATGGTCAAGACCTTTTTAGTAGTATTCCGATGTGTTGTTTCTATCACCATGGGTAATGAGAAAAATGGTTCATTAATGGTTCCCAACCTCTTTATGACACCAGGGACAAGGTCTGCTAAGAATAAAAGAAACCATTCAGCATCTTTTCAAGTGGCTTCCAAACCAGTCATTTCACTTACCTTGGGGGGGTCAAACAGTGCCAGGACATAATTCACAATGTCCGATCGTCCTTCTTTCTGCAAAACTAATCGGCATTTCTGCCAGCACGTTCCACTATCTACTGTGGCCTCTGTCACCATCCAGTATTTCAGAGAACCCTCTTTCCGAATCTGAGATGACAGATCTCGTGAGAGGGCCCAAGGAAAGATCTTTCGGGCAAGGCCAGACTTTGAAACAGAATCCGGCCTTTCTCCACCGCCAGGAGGAGGTTCTGGGGTTCTCCTGCAGAAAAGGTTCCGCCAACTCCTCCTCAGACGATCCAGGGAAAAGTGCCTTCTCGCAGCTCCTGAGGAAGAAGATCCTAAAAGCTCCTCACAACTCCAAGACTTGGCCAGGCCTGAGGGACAATCTTCCAGCATCCAGTCAGACTGATCATCCAAATCAACCTCAGTCTTGGTCCCAACCGTCCCAAGGAAATTGTCGGCATGTTTTTGGCCAGTCTCACGGTAGTCTTGTGCCTTGGTCATTGGAATAAAGTGGTACCGGTTCATAGTACAACTATCCTTCAGCTCATTGCGAAAGTATTGCTGGAAGAGGGCAGCAAAGTGGAGGGAGAAATGGTCAGCAGCCAAGACTTCATGTTGGGGGTTCTCGTTGACAAAAAGGAGGTACTTTCGGGCCAGCTCTCGGGCCGTGGTGATGGCATGCTGCTCACAGAACTCATTCCAACCGCTGGGGGATGCAGTGACAGATTGTCCATTCATTTCAGGAACTGGTAATATTTGGATATACTGCAAAACACACAAAAAGTGGATATGTGGTATGAGGGACTTACAAGTGAAAGGCTGACAAGATGAAGAACTAACAGCAAATAGAACTAGGTTAGCCAACTAGAGAGCATGCAGAAAAGAGGATAGTTAGTCAGGTAACACACAAACATAGCATAATATCTACATCCTATATAGTCAGGCAGATCTGCCTCCAAGGCAGCCTTACTAAAATCTCCTCAGCCCATTCTACAGCCCTTGTGCCTTCACTCTGCAAACAGGCTCAAGGACTTCCTTAGTAAACTCTGTGCCTGCTATTTAATGACAGACTGGAAGGAAATCCTCCTTTGACATGTTTGCCATGAAAGGATTCTCCAAAGAAAGCCAACTAGAAGTGTCTATCACTTTTTGGTATCTTCATTGGGAATGAGAGAGGCCATGCTTACTCAGACATACGATTATATAGAAATATAGGTATAAACAGATATACACATATTCTTGATTAACCCTTATGTTGAAAAGTAATTGTTTTTACTCCAACTCAGCATATTGGCTGAGAGATTCTGGGAATTACAGACAAAGTAACTTTCTCAAGTTCTGCATTAACCCATGACTAATGGGTCCTGTAAAACTGTCAATATACTTCTATAGTCTTTTATTGTTCTGTATGGTACTGTTTTTATGATGTTATGTTTTATTGTGATATGTTTTATTTGGTTTGTTTTGATGCTATAGCATTGTGTTATGTTTCTAACTTTGTGCTCTCTGGGCTTGTCCCTTTGTAAGCCGCCCCGAGTCCCTTAGGAGAGATGGAGGTGAGGTATAAAAATAAAGTTATTATTATTATAGACAGATGTTATCTTTCCTTCCGGTAACCCTCCCATATTAATCCCCAGAATAACCCTGTGAGGCAGGACTATGCCAAGAGATGATGATTAGCATGGCTATAAATCCTATTTTCCTGAGGTGCTTCCTCTATTTGCCCAGTAGACAGTCCATCCAGTTAGCAGCTCCTGAGCAGCAGACCAAACAGCAGGCACACTAGTCACCTGGTCACAATCCCTTCCCACTAGACCTAGATGTATGCTATGTCTGTTCTAACTATGAGCATTACTTCTAAATCTGTTTCTGTAGACACCAATTAGTACATACAAATGCTGTAAAAATCTGTCCCCTCTTTCATCCTCTTTTTGTACTGGTACATTTCTCCTTTTTTCAGCAATACATTAAGTGGCTTCTAAAGAGACAGCTGTCCCAAGATCACCCAGCTTCAGAACCAAGGATGGCTTTCAATGTAGGTCTCCAAAACTCTAGTCTAACAATTTTATGCTGCCGTCCAGATGTCCTGGACTATAAATCACATTATACCATGGCCATTCTACACTGTATAGAAATATGGCTATGTGGCTTCTAGGAGAAACTTGAAAACTAGGCTCTTGCTGCAGCACACTAGCTGGAAATCCCAAAAAGCAGAATATGAAGTGGCAAACATAAGTGTACTTCCCCACTACAAAATCCATCTGCTCATCCAGTGACTAATTTTTTTATGTTCAAATGTTTGAGAACATCCTATAGCAAGCTTGGTTGGCCAGGCTAGTGACTCCCTGAGGAGCTACACAATATGAAGAGGGAAAACTAAGCATCCATCAAACTCAAAAGACGTATGTACCAAGGAAAGACAGCAACAGGCTGAGAGGCAGGCACCTCCAGTGGGTGAAGCAAGCTGAGGAGTGAAGCAGAGCAAGACAGTTGCTGGGGACAAGGAGATAGCAAGGCTGACGAGGGTGGGAAGGGAACATAGCCGCAGATTGGCCTAGCCCAGAGCCTCAGAAAAGCAGCTAAAATCTTGGAAGTCAACTAGAGGGAAACGTCCCATTACAAACCTTCGCTAAAGTTGGAATCAGTAAGTTACGTTTGTTTCGCTGTGGGTCCCTGAGCCTCTTGCCCCCTGAGCTGGGCCCCTGGCCAGCACGGTCTATCAGTACCACCAGCCTGTGGATGACTCAGCATCCTCGCTTCCTTCCATACACAATTCTCATGTGTGCCTTTCACCCAGGCCTTTTGTGGTCACTGGGAAACTGGGGTGCAGGAGAGGTGGGCCCAGCTATTGCAATTCACTGAGAGCACCCTCAAGTCCCTTGAAAGAATCTCATGCAACATTTCTCTTTCAAAACAAAGGGCATGTGTGATTTTGCTTCGAAGAACAGACGTGTAGACATACCTGGATATTGCTTATTTCTAGAAGCCCTTATTTTGGGGCAAAGTCAGTTCAAACGTGCCTTGAGCACTTATATAAAGCTACAGACACCCAATATTTAAAAATGGCTTCACGAGCATCATAACTGTCTTTTAAGCGACACAAAACTTTGAGCAAGATATTACACAACCAAGCATCTATTTCCAGGAAGGGTTTCCCCTTAAGCTAGTGCAAAAGAGAAAGGAAATGAGCCCTAGCAACATGTGATGCGTACAATACCTTGCAAAAAAACAGTTCGGCATTTGCAGATATGTTGACAAAACAGAAAGGCTGATCCACTTGGGGAAGGCAGACTCAGAACCGGACACAGATGTGCCCACGAGCATATTCCAAGTTCCTGTCTGAAGGCAGGAGCGGACAGCTTTGACATGCATCAAAGGCAGCCAGGCGTACTAAAACTGAACTGTAAGGATGGCTCTCCTAACCCCTCCCCATTTTGAAATAAGCATATGTCATAGGCTTTTCTAGCTAGAACTATAGGAGGAAGTCCACTCCCAATCTCTCCCCCTCATTAAAGAGAATACCGAGTTACTTTAGGAGAGTCATTTTGAAGTCAGCAGACCATACGCTACTGAGGAGAAGGGACTTCCACTAAAGGCCTACTGTATTCCACATAGTGCGTAGAATCATCAGAGCAAGTATAACCATCACACCACCCTTCTGATAACATTCAGTAACCCATTAACCTTCCACTGAAGGGGGATAAGGCATGAAAGGTGTCCAACTTGATCTATAATGGAGTTTCTTATGAGTATCTCAATATTTTTTGAAAAAAGAAAGGAAAGGAAGGCGGAAGAAAAACTGTTTGTCACTCCTGTATGTACAGAAAGTATCTCGAGAACACACTCAGCTCCAATCCTCAGACTAAACAGGTTGTCTTTTTCATCTCTCCTCCCTCCCAGTTGTATGATGTGGCCCAGGAAGGATGAGAAAAATAGAGTGAACAACCAGTTCCGCAAATGGTGCTGTCAAGAACAGTTTGGTTTCCTGGACCATGGTCTGTCTTTCAGAGAAAACGGGATTCTGGCATGGGACGGGTTGCACCTCACAGGAGTTGGCAGCAATGAGAAACTCGCAAACCTGATCAGCCTTTTGGCTTTAAACTGAGTTATGTGGGGGAGGATGATAACATCCTTGAGAACAATAGTTTTATCAATACCAGGAGGCAACAGCCCAAAGGCTAAAGAGAGAGTTGGACAAACAGAACAAGTACCAAGAAGTGAAAGGACGATAATAATCTCAAATACATAGCAAGGGGAAATGTCCCATGGGCTTAGATGTCTAGTCTACACAAATGCAGAGCATGGGAAATAAACAAGATGAACTGGAACTCTTAGCACAACAAAACAGTGAGGATGTAATAGGCATCACTAAAACCTGATGGGGTAAGTCCTGTAACTGGAATGTAGTATTGGAGGGGTATAAATTATTTCAGAGATTAAAGCAAATAGGGGCCCTTCCAGACAGGCCCTGTATTCCAGGATCTGATCCCAGGTTTTCTGTGTTTATCTGGATTGTATTAGTCTGAACTATCAGATAATCTGGGATAAACAGAAAACCTAGGATCAGATCCTGGGATATAGGGCCTGTCTGGAAGAGCCCTAGGAAAGGGGGCAGAGTAGCATTATATGTCTTGGATGTTTACACTTGCAAAGAGATGTGGGACTTAAATCCTGACAATCAGGTTGAAAGCATCTGGATAGGAATTAAGAACTGAAACATATGCAGCTGTGGGGGTCTAATGCAGATCTCCAAACCAGACTGAAGTCTTCCTTGAACAGATGACCTGACTGCATTAAATGTCTCCAGGGTCAGATGAACTACATCCAAGAGTATTGAAGGAACTAGCAGAAGTCATTTCAGAACCACTAGCAATAATCTTTTGAGAATTATTGGAGAAAAGGAGAAGTCCCAGCAAAAGACTGGCAAATGTTGTCCCTATCTTCAAGAAGGAAAAAAAGATGACCCAAACAATTACCAGCCAATCAGTCTGACATCAAAACCAGGAAATATTCTGGAGCAAATAATTATGGAGGCTGTCTGTCATCACTTAGAAAAGAATGCTGTGATCATTAAAACTCAACATGGATTTCTCAAAAACAAGTCATGCCAGAAAAATCTTATCTATTTTTTTCAACAGAGTTACAAGCTTGGTAGATGCAGGGAATGCTGTGGATGGAGCATACCTTGATTTCAGCAAGGCCTTCAACAAGGTTCCCCACAATCTTCTTGTAAGCAATCTAGTCTAATGTGGGCTAGACAATACTACTGCTAGGTGGATAACTAGTTAAGTGACCGAACTCAAAGGGTGCTCACCAGTGGTTCCTCTTCATCCTTGAAAGCCTTGATTAATCATGGGGTATCATAAGCAGGGTTCCATCCTGGGCCCGGTTCTGTTCAACATCTTTATTAATGACTTGGATGAAGGGTGAGAAGGCATGATCACCAAGTTTGAAGTTGACACCAAATAGAGAGTGACAGTTAATACTCCAGAGGATAGGATCAGAATTCTAAATTACCTTAACAGATTAGAGGGCTAGGCCAAAACTAACAAAATGAATTTCAACATGGAGAAATGTAGGATACTCCACTTAGGCATGAAATGCACATACACAGGATGGGTGACGCCTGGCTCAACAACAGAACATGTGAAAAAGATCTTGGAGTCTTAGTGGACAACATGTTAAACATAAATCAACAATATGATGCAGCAGCTAAAAAAACTAATGTGATTTTGGGCTACAACAAAAGGGGTGTGTATAGTGTA